AATGAAAAGTTATGATTGGTGGAATGAGGTTTTTATGGTTTTTACAAATTGAGTGGTTTTCATTTGATCGTTCCCCTATATATATATATATATATATATATATATATATATATATCTCCATCATTGAATCAATACTAATTAAAAAGAACCACTAGATCAACATTAACTAGAAACATTAGATCAATTTTCTTCTAAACGTAATTGATTAGTTGTTTTTGGGATCAAAAGTAATCAACGGTGCAAATCTCTTTTTACATTTTTCATCTTAACCTCTATTCTCACACGATCTTTCGTCTATGTATATAAGGGGTAGGTTTATATGGGAACTGTGAAAATCGATTATTCATGATGGATATTGTGATGGATATTCATCATAAACGTGAATAATTAAAAATAAATGATATTCTTAATAAATTATATTCATGAATATTTAGGCTTGTTCAAAATAATAACTGACTTCTTTTGATTCTTAATTTCTAAATAAACAATCCCTACTTTCATTTAAAAGTAAGAACTACTCACATAAACCTTTCTTGCAAAATTCACCACCTAAAACAAAATTTAACTTCATAAAAAGTTGCATATAGCAGTATCCTTATTTTTTTATTGTAAAAAGTTACATTTGAGATAAGATTTAAAGATATGATGTATGTAGATCTTACCACTATTTTAAGATATAAAAACATCAGTTCACAAAAATAACAAGTACAACAAAAACAAAATTTACGAGAGTCGATACTAAGGATAATATTTTTAAATGATGAACGTTGAGTATGTATTGGTGTTTGCAAACACTTGTAAATGATGCATCTGAAGAGTTAGTTGTTGATGAGCATCAATGCATTATCATCTAACTGGCTTTTTCCATCAACTGGGTATTAGTTAATGTTACCACTGAATGAACGTGAAAATATACAATCTTTCATAACTAGAACTTTTATCGACTACCATCTAATCGAAGATCCATATCTGTTTTGACCTTACACTTTAGAAAGACCAAGAAGACCCAAAACAACACCAAATAACCTTTGGTCTAGTGATATCATAGTCGTTGCTTTCATAGAAGGTTAGAGGTTCAAACCTTATAAAAGATGAAGATATATTGTAATTTCATTTGTTGTATTTACAGTATATAAGCCCAAAACAACATAAAATATATACAAAATCAAAATTTCTTATACATATTATTTAACAAATATCATAATTTGTTAAGAAAAAGAGCTTATAATACATTAAAAGAGATAAAAATTTCATTTAAAATTAAATAAACCAATGGAAACTATACCAACCAAATCTCATTCTAATGCCCACATCAATGAAATTGGAAATGCTCAAAAGCAAAATCAAAACGGACCTAAATGATTAAATAGTGATATACATTCCATTATCTATAATTTAGGAATATAGTTATCTTTTACACGGTATTTTGTCATATATATAACATAGATTTGGTATCATGTGAGACAAGACTATGAGACATGTTTTCTACACTTAAAACTTCATAGCAAAACACTGTGAAGATAACATTCACAGTGTTTTTGTTGTGAATGTTTCACGTCTAAAAACGTGTCTTACGAAAACAGTCTTGTCTCATACCCAACCTTATATATATGCATACTAGAAGGTCAAGATCTATCTTGACCTTCCGTTTAAAGGGCCGGATCCTGGATAAACAGAACCGATTTTACTAGATGGGTTCGAACCCATCCGGTAATAACCACCCGATCCATATACGTGTCCTCCTTGATGATGGTGCCCCATCATCGTTCCATACATTCCTCCTCCATTATTCTCATGAAATCCCCCTCCATTATTCCCCATATTTACAACACTGCCATTCCCGCCGCCACCACCACTGGCGGTTGGTGCGCCGCCGCCTTCCTTCTCGCTGCCCTGCCGTCCGGCGAGCGCCGTCTTCTCTCCCTCCATATCTCTAAATCTCTGTAAGTAAACCTTCAACGGCTCAACGTAGTCCTCAAACCCTAACGTCGTCATGGCCCATAGCAAGTCGTCTCCATTGATCGTCTTTCGCTTTTCTCTCTGACACTTATCGGAAGCTTCGCCGGTGATGAAGCTGATGAACTCCGATACACACTCTTGTACCGTCTCCTTAGCGTCTTTCGAGATCTTTGCGTTCGCCGGCAACGCTTTCTTCATGATTCTGCTCACGTTTGCTATCGGAAGAAACCTATCTTGCTCCCGAAGGGAGTGATCGCCGTTGTGACCTCCTCCAGATTCATTATCTGAATCCGCCATCAATTCCGTTCGGTAAGTTTCAAGTTTTAGGGTTTTGACTTTATGCTCGTGGATCAAAAATCTATAAAACAAAACAACTTCTCACTTCGCAGCTGAATTTTGCTTGAATACAACAAATCTACCAAAATATTTGGTAACTGTTCGATCACAAGCATCGATCATCCATAAATTTCAAATTATATCGTATAATAACAAAATCACCTCCGATCAACACAACTAGAATTCGTAGAAAGAAGAGATGAATCGATGTATCTAAGCAATCGTCGAGAGTGAAACGACGATCAAGTCAGAAATCCGGTGATCGGAATCATACATTCCAGCAAGAAGGGAGAAGAGAAGGATGTTTAGTCGGAGGGAATGGGAATGCAGAATACCGTCGGATCAAATGGTATAAGAACGCCATCTTTACTGCCACGTGGTAGAATACTGGCCGTTATTTGTCGATAAGTGGTCATTTCTAGTGGCGGGGTATGGACCGTCCGATTAGAAGATAGTGGAGAGATGTGGACCATAGATAGAGCATAAGGGGAACATGGTCGGCCATAGGTGGATTTAATTAAGTACATAAATTAGGCACTAATTAGAACATTAAGAAACACCTAATTTGCCCCTTTCTTTTTCTTAATCAACGTTTAACATTTGTTAATCGTTAATGATTACGTATTTAAACAACAAAATGTCTCTTTAAACTATATAATAACTCGTTAAAAGAATCTGAAACCTCATATTAATCTTCTAAAGAGTCATTTAAAAAAATAACAGAGGTTCCAACATATGCATGACAACAGGTTCCACTGTCTCATCCTCGGAAGGTACAGGGAATCGAATCCCCTGCTTGGTTTTTGTTGGGCCTAACCCCCGTCCACCACCTGTCAATCTCCGGTTCACAATAAATGGTTCAAAAATACGTATTAAAAATATATATAATTTTATTATATATATATATATACACACACACACACACACGTAGACAAGGCAGGTTGGGCCATTGGGGAATACATTACCCGACCCTGGTTTTCAACTTGTCGGGGATCTTGGTCCTGGACCGGTACCTGTTTTTATGAGGAATCCCGACACTAAACAGGGCGAGTGAACCGGGTTCCCCTATGGGCCGAGGTGAATCACCATGCCTAAACATACATAGAAGAGAAATATTTCAAGTCTAGGTGATGTAGGGCTTTAACAACACCCCTCCGACGGAGGTTACACGGTCCAAGATTGTCCCAGAGTGTCGAGAGGGGAATAGATGAAGATAGATTGTCCAGAATGCCTAGTCCTTGGAGTTAACTTGAGTCTGATACATGTACGAATATGCAGAATTTCGTATTAATCTTAAACGAATCGTTTGAGGAGAGAACGAACGTATATAAAAGAGAAATAATCAAAATATAACTAGGCAAGATTCTAGCATAACTATTGGTCAATAAAGCATAGGTCAAAATGTAATTAAAAAACTTGGTTTTGTTTTAATTTAGGTGCCGTTTACCAAACGGTTACCCGGTAAGCGCTTACCAAGTCATTTTACTTTACCGGATGAATATGACAATGATTAAGAATCTTACCCGGTAAGAGCGAAGATAAGAATTGAGAGTCTTACCCGGTAAGTGAGGATGAGGACTCTTACCATGGTTAGCGCTTACCGGGATAAATTGTTGCATACGATGCGTTTTAGTGAATAAAATATTGTCTGGTAAGTAAGTGATAATATTAAATTTTACTGGTAAGTATTTATCGGATAAGTGTTTAGGTAAATTGCCCTTAATGTAACCAATATTTCTTTCTCAATTAGTGTGGGAGAGTTTTAAGATTTCTATTTTGTATCTACTTTGACCTATCAAATTGTTAAAATAGATAAATACATTATAAATTTGGAGTTAATGCCTCTAGGGTGTAATCTAGTTGATTTTGACTAAATATAGACAGGTGGGTTCATTTTTAGGGTGAATGATCTCACACGTAAGAAAAGATCTGGATCCTTAATCATCTTTAATCTCAAATTTACCCATGAATATTTCTTGATACTTCGATGCATCTCATCATAATATGTATACAAAAAGTGGAAATCTCTTCTTATACTTTTCACCTTAACTCGTAGACCCCGTTTTAGATTAGCCGTTAAATAATAACACTGAGACAGATTCGTATGGATCGATCGATGTTGCTGATAATCAAGTTTTATCAGAATAAATTTGGAGTTAATATTAAAGGGAATTAGCCAAATTAGTGTACACATAGACAAGATAAAAAGGATTGGACCACAATACAAAATTCGATGGTTGTGACGTGGACTCAAGTATCGTGAGTCATCGACTTTCTTTGCATTATCTTTTTGCTGCTAGGTAATAGGTATCCTCAACTCCATGTACGTGGCATTATTGGTGGATATAGATTTTTTTAATATATTAAATATTAATATTAATGAGCTCCTTAAAAAAACTGAAAATACTGTCTGGGGTGTTTGAGATTGCTTATAAAAATAACTTAATGTTTGAGATTGCTTATAAAAATAACTTGTTGACTTATTTTGATATGACACCGATAACAAGCACTTTTGAGTGTTTGGATAAACAGCTTATACCGGTGCCAAACCGGTAAGAAAGAGTTTTTAAAAAAGTTAAACTCTTCTAACTTATAATAGGTTGATAAGGACTTTTGTAGAAAATCATAAGTTGTTTTCAATAAGCAATGCCAAATATCCTAAATACAAAACACGTCATCGGTTTGATTTCAGGTCCCTCGTTAGCTTTGGACGTTACGTGAGCCATAAAATATCACTCACACTGGTATCTTTTGAAACATGTTTCGTATGAAACTGATTGAGGTTGTTGATGATCAACTTTTTCTCCAGATATTTACTCAAGTAATTTGGAATTAAGAATACGTTATAAACATTTGAATATAACTTATGTGACTTATGAATCATTTAATTTATTTTATTGTTAATTAATCTTTTTAATTTTATCTGATAAAATATTCATCAGACTAATATGATCTCATGTACCTCAAAAAGATAAAATGAGCGACCAAAGGGTCTTTGGCCTAGTCGTATCGTAGCATTTGGCTTCTTAGGAGGTCAGGTGTTCAAACCTCACCAAAAATGAGGAGTGTGTGTGAGTTTATTTGTTGGATTTGTCGTATATAAATGTTATGTACTTTAAAAAGAAGAAGATAAAATGGACGTCTGGGTCAAGCAAAAATGTAAAATAATACTGAAACAGACATGTTTGAATTGTGGGTTTTAGTAATATTATCTTTTGTTGTATTATTAAAAAGTATAGATGGTAGACTCGAATCTTATAAGTTGATTAAAAGTAAGATATTATCACTAATGGAAAGAAAGAATATCTTGACCGTCCGGTCCACGTGAGATTGCCAAAGGTCCAACCATCAAATCAGTACTTAGAAGGTCCTATTTAAAGAATAAAGATGATTCTAGTTCTCTTATAACTTGTCTTGGTCTTTAAGTGATTCTAGAGTTAAAGTTAATGACTAATTGGAGTCCGATGGGTCCAACCAGTTTTAACCGGGCTAGGTCTTTTGGTCCAAAAACTTGATCTGGCTAGTACAAATTATTACAGTATGATCACTTTGTTTCATCTTTAACTTCAGTGATATGGAACTCCAAAATCCCATTTTCTAGGACGAATGTTGTATTTACTTTGTAACAATCTAAAATGGAAATTGTTACATTTATTTTGAGATAATTTGATAATAGGGGTGTTCGCGTTCCGGTTTGGGCGGTTTAACCCCTCAGACCACAAATCAAACCGTAATGGCGGTTTTATAAAATTTTCAAACTGAACGGTTTGACATCAAGTGCCCAGACCGGTCAAACCAGACCACGAAAAGACGGTTTGGTCTGACCGGTTTAGACGGTTTGAGCCTTTAATGGACTTTAAATATTAAACTTAAAAAAACATATATAAATTATAATTTTAGATTAAATATCCATTTTGATTATGTTAGATGTTAGGTTTTAAGTTGGGTTTAAGGATACATTTGAGCCATAATCCATAAGTTAAAAAAGTTGGTTTGCTAATAACTAAAATAAATAATTAAATAATATATATATATATATATATACCGCCGAAAAAAGACTCCAGATCGGATCGGACCCCCCGGTTTTGCTTTTTTACAAACCAAACCGTCAAACTGCTCAAACCATCAAAAAATTGTCCGATTTAACTTGATTTGGCCGGTTTGAACGGTCCAATGATTTTTTTGAATACCCCTAGTAGATGATATATTTTTACTTTTAAAATTGATACAAACATATTTATATTTTTTGAAAAAAAGATGATCTCTTCACTTACCGAATGAATTTGTGTACGTACTTCTCCCATTTGTACATGTGTGCTAATGGTAACTTACCAGACTTAACGAAAATCAACTAACCTTTACATACTTCTCCTATTTATACCTTCCTTCACATATCCTGTGGCGTATACGTCCACACTCATTGTTGTACGTTACATATCTGAGTACAAATGTCAAAACATCACTACATTTACAACAAAAACCGAATGTACAGTAGGCTAAAAATATCAATCATGTCGGGTTCAGTATTTGTAGATAAGAAAGGGGGCGTTCCTGTCTTGCTCTCACAAGTGGGTGTTCCATCACTTCAAATATTTCTCTCGTTCTCGTTCTCATCCTCTGTCTTTTGTTCTTTGATGCAATTTGTCATCTCCTGGTTCTAAACGTCTCTGTGAGACTAAATTGCAAAGAACTTTAACATTCTAAATGGCATGACGTTCGTTCAATGAATATATGATATCAGAGCAGAGTGTTTGATCCTTTTTCCCTACAATGTATCTACCCAATGGCGACAAACACCATACCCAATGACATCAATCCAATGAAACCCCTTATTGTCGTTAATCTCACCAACATCATCAAGCTTTCCTCGACAAACTATATCTCATGGAAGCTTCAAATAGAGGCCACACTTGTTGGTCTCGGCCTATTCAAGTTTCTAAATGGCATAAATTTGCCTCTAGCCACAACCATCGTCAAAGAAAACCAATCAAGTTCCAACCTGGAATATGAAACATGGTTGCGTCAAGATTGTCTTCTTTAGGCACCCTTGATCAGACAGTTGTTCCTTTGGGTTGTCCCACCACCACCTCTAAAGCCTTGTGGGACACTCTTGCCACAACTTTTGCTAGCTCCTCTTGAGGTCACATCAAGCAACTAAAGGCTCGGTTCAAAGATACAACCAAAGGTCCAAGATCAATCACGGAGTTCATGACTGCTGGCAAGCTATGCTTGATGAGATACAAGCTCTTCATAAACTTGGGCATGAGATCTTGTTCCACCTGATCCAAGCCAAAACTTGGTTTGATGC